CACATAGAAACTGATGATGGTGGAAAACACCGAAACGTATTTTAATTGATAAATAGACAATAAATGACTGAAGCCCAGGAATTGATTTTGATTTATATTCTACTATTGTTGAATGCGATAATGAACTTCCAGTGGAAACTACTAGTACTCACCCTATTGAAAGTTTTCTTCTTCGATCCCACACTAAAAGCGCGCGTCCTTGTCTTCTCCAAATTGTTAGCCAGCTGATTTTCCGGAGGTTTCGACCCCAAGGAATAGGCCCGACCAGGACGCGTATCATCGTCATTGGCCGAGACGTAAGAGAACACTTTCTCCAATGGGTATTCGGAACATCTGCAATTCAACAAGCATTGAATCAACCAATTCTTTAACCTCCAGAGCTGCCAACTGACTTCATTTCCGTGCTGGGAGTTCCGGATGTAATACTACTCGTACTAGCACTATTTGAAGCACCTTGCGGCCCTCCCATATAGGTATAGTCATTTTGATAAGGGTCTTGTAGACTCATCAGCACATAGCCATCTCCCGATGTATTAGCGCGAGGAGATTCAGGATACTCTTCCTCCGCAATAACTTCCTCTGGAGGCAACGTCGAGTACATTCGTTGATGCTCCATATCATGCCCATCGTGTTCATCGGGCAAACTGTACGAAGACCCCGTGGAATCAGAAGGCGGACTGATCGGACTGCCTGAAAGTTCAACCGTTAACTGGCTTCATATTGCAGAATGCGAAAATCGAAATTTACCAGTGGGAGGGCTGTGTGAAGGGTCCCGAAGATGAGCCCGGTAGGGTAACAAGTGCGATTTTCCCCATGGAGGCAGAGCATGATTCCCTTCACTTGTTGTTCTAGGGCGCGACGGCATACTATCACAACGTTCTCTAGCGCCTAAGCAAAGTGAAAACAGTTGATAAGCCCAGGTTTTTTTCATCCAAAATCGCAATTGAAACAGTGTTTGTGATCAGTTTGTGATCAGTCTAGAGTGTCCGTTAAGTGTTATTACATAGCCAGTGCAGCAGAAAATGACGATTTATCCAAATTTACCTGGTTAAAAGCGAATGAGCACCAACGTATCAAGTGACGTAAACTGTATACAGGGTGACCAAGATAAGGATGCATTGGCATGGGGGGTCTCCGACACCGTAAAAGATGCTAAGTCGGTTAAATTAATTTTTGAGGTATTTAGACAAGTGATTTTTAGTCAAAAACAGTTATTTGAAATAATATAAAAATAAAAAATACTTTCTCGTGGCCGGCTTTCGAGCCCTACACGATGCCCTATGCATTGTATTATAACGTTTTATTGTTTTCATATGGACCGAAAAAAAGTACATTACGTATTAGGTAGCTTTCTAATAGCGAATTCAACGAAGTATAACATAGTATGATTTGGTACGATTCTTGCCCCAATAATTTTTTTTTTAAATAAATTATGCTTGTTTACATGAACCTATGTCCTATGTCTATGGTATGTAAGCTGAAACAAGACCGCCCATAGGTCAATTTTCAGACGTCTGACTTTCAAGTTTTTTGTTTTTTTTCTGGATTTAGTAGGTTCATTTAATTTAAATTTCTATTTTTGTCTAACTTTTTGTTCGATGAAAGATTTTATTCTGGTTTTAGTTCTTAAGTGACACGTACTTTGACGCTGAAATTTGACCTATTCTTGCTTAAAGCTGTCTTCTTTCCGGATATTTGTTGTTGTACATGTAAAACAGACATAATTTATAAAAAAATGTTTTTTTGACACAAGAACAGGTACAAATCGTACTGTGTTATAGATTGTTGAAATCGCTATTAAAAGTGCTATCTAACACGTTTCGTCCTTTTTTCGGTCCATAGGAAAAACAAAACCTGATGATGGTTTCTAAGAAACGAAACGTTGGAACTATTTTTGATAGACGCCATCCTGTAGAGCTCGAAAATGGGCGATGAGAAATAATTTTTGGTTTTTAATGATTTCAAATAACGTGAAAAATGAATATAAACGAAAATCCGAAAAATCACTTTTCTAAATATGTAAAAAATTCAAAGGAAAAAAGCCCCCTGATTGCGCAACTTTTTCCTAATTTAACTGACTTCGTTTCTCTTACACTTTCGGAGATCCCCATGCAATGCATCCTTATCTTGGCCACCCTGTATTTTGTTAGAAGAAAAGTGATTTGTGACAAAAATATAACAATTGAGGTGAAAGTATTGCAAAAAAACTGGTTTGGATCGGATAAGAAACATTTTATCGAAAAATAATTTTTGTTTTTAAAAAATTCCTTTCTGTGCTTTGAATTTTACGATCCCCAGTAAGTTTTCACTCTATTTTGTCTCATACATTTTCTTCGATTTCAATTTTCAGGCTGCTATTTTTTTCATCTAAGTCCATAATTAGCAAAACAAAAATTGTCCATATTGTGAAATCGATTAACAAATGTTAAGATAAAACAATCTGGCAAAACATCCATTGGCTTAATAAGGATGTTTATGGTCCGCAACGCTTCAGTTGAAATGAATAAGAAACATCCTTATTAAGCCAATGGAAGTCGTAGCAAATTATTTCTGCTTGATGATCATGAACTTTCCAATATAGACAAGATTGGTTCAATTCGATCGCTTGCGCTCTATAATCAATTAGCGGACACCCTGTATAACACGAAACAAACTGGCAAATCTGCGAACAATTCATTGGAGTGCCAAAGTGGAAAAATTCATTTATTAATGGCAAGATGAGGATGATGTAGCGTTATTTCCAGTGAACAGGGTGATGAAACATTATATGCAATACTAGATCTACCAAGTAAATTAAAAAATTAAAAATACACATACTGAGGACAAGTTCTTAAAGGACTTTACTTAGAACTTTGCTTGATTTTTTATTTGAAAATTCACAATTAACATTGATTATATGCGAAACTTGGGTGTAAAAAAGTAGGAAAATTATTACTTCACAAAGTCCTTTGATGGTGTAGGTATATGAGAGCAACAAGGCAAAACGCGTAGAAGCCATTGTTAAGAAAGAGAGGAAACCTTTATCAATCTTCTGCAATTGTTGTTTGCTGTCTCAATTTTGAATGCAAAAGTTGAAAAATTACCCAACAATTTCTAAATACAAATTTAATTGCTTCGAACACTATCGCGTGGGGAAGCGAGCAATGCTCCCGCTTGATCTGACCAGCCGCACCTCGCAGGTTTCTTCTCTTTCCAAACCCGCAATTTTTTGCTATGTTCCACTCATATATTCCCAGTTTTTTTCAAGCAACGAAAAATCGACGAGTCTCCTTCAGATACATACATTTTCCCCCTCCGATGATGGCTTGCGCTTTTTTACATATAGGCTGATGATTGGTTAAACTTATGGTGTTATCGGGGGCACAATTGGGTGCACTGATGATCGGTGTAGCGAATGGCAACGATTGTGTGCGCTGATGATTTCCCCCTGTTGACCAGCCCATTCCACCACCTTGGACAAACACAACGACACTCATAATGTGAACATTTAACCAATGAACAATCACAATCCTTTAAATGCCCCATATATCGATACCAGGGATTTAACAGTTAGAAATAATGATCGAGTTGTTTTTATAGTCGACTTATTAGTATATTACTAATCACTTGTATTTAATTGTTGAATTAAATACAGCTGTTAACAGAATGCAATGGAAGTTCACTCACATAAAGCTCGGATCTTTCATCCCAATATGATGCAATTTTTTTTTCGAAACAGGTTGTTTTTAACTCTCTTTGAGATGAATTCTCCTTCAGTGAAACGTTTACGCGATAATGCTGCATATTTTGCAAAGATTCACAACAGTTCCAATTAGCAATGAACATGTATTAAATTATAAAACAAAATTTACAATTCTCATTGTTAAAATGTGTTTTCTTTTGTACACTTTGTATACATTTATATTATCTGTCATGGAATGATTCACACATTTGGTTTAGTGTTGTGTATAAATTGCACAACCAATGATTACCAGTATTCGTTTATTATCTTCTTTTATTAGATCTATGTAACATTCTGTTGCACTCGTCTCAGATAATGAGAAGAATCCACACATTCAGGGACGTTTGTTTGTGTATAAACAAACAGTTCCTAGCGATTGATTCCAGGAACATCTATTAGACACCCTGTATATAAATTTTAATTCCCCTGTCGTCACCTTGGCTTCGGCCTCAGCTTTTTAATCCATCAAATACCAACATTTTTCATAGATTTTCGCCTGTAAATCCATGGTATCAATGCCTCCAAATCGATATTTATACTAAAGCAATAGACGAAAGCATTCCCTAGACATACAGGATTAGTGTGTATTGTTAATCGGGATTAATGCGGAATATCTGACATATACAGGGTGTTTCGCCACAGCATGCCATTCGTATAGTTAGACAAGTTTTCCGGAAACAAAAATACCAAGCAATCGGGTCTGGTTAATCACTAGATCGGTAGATAATCGCATGGCGATTGCTTAAAAATCCCATCGAGGCTTATTTTAAGAGCCGTTCAAACAAATAAACCGAAACTAATCCAGTCTGGTCGATTGCATTGCGACAAAAACAACATATATAAATATCCAGACTGACATCTAATTCTGGCTGAGCGGCCAGACGGTCGGTAATAATAAAACCTTGATACTCTGTAGCCTTACCATCTTACGTAATGCCATCTCTTAGTAAATGCCATTGTGTTTTCTTCGTTGCCATTGTATTGTCGACGTTGTTGTGTAAAGGTTTTGCTGGATTTGGCATGGATCGCTTAAAATAAACCCGATGTTTGCCATTCGATTTACAGTTGGATGGTTTTTCGATTTAGGATTATGTACAGATTTGCGTATTGCTCTCGATTCTATCTACGTTTCCATATAGATTAACAAGTCCAAGATTTCTTCTGCTTGTTTTATATGGCAATCTCAAGACAACTGGGATTCCGAATTTCAGTTGCATTTTTTCTGTCATTTTCTTTTTATTCTCAGTTATGTCATCAAAAATTAGTTAAGTTACAGAGTGATATTTCCAATATTTTGTTGGGCATTTTCTGTTTTCTAAGCGGCAAAAGTTTTGATTTTGATTTGAGCATTGTTTAACAGTTCTCCTGATTTTTGGCATTTATTTGCTCAATATCTAGACAAGTTGGAGCCTCACCGTTGCATAACTGCGGCAGGACTATCCTCAGGAAATTTTTCATGATTCTTTTAAATTTCGTTCGAATTTCGAGTAACACAGTTATTTCCACATTTTGTAATTTTGAATTTTGTAAGGTATTTAGTCCGTTTTAGTGCGAATATTTTGATTTTGAGTCAGTATCAGCTAATTTTTAGGTTTTTGAATGTGCTGCTTTAATTCCATTAAATTTGGGACGAAAAAGCTTGTAGCCAGTTCTTGCGAACACCACACAGTTTCGTTTTCAAAAAAACCATCATCAGTTTTTTTAAGTGCGGTCCTGTTTTTGATTTGCGAATTTTAAAGCCGCTTTCATAGTTTTTTCTCTCTTGATAGGTTTTTAGCAGACTATCTAGAAATTT